TTTTATACTGGTATTCTGTCATAACATTGGATATTTAGATTTAGAAGAAATCTCTAAATAAAACAGTTTACCATTGTTCTAGTAAACGTAAATGTATAAGAGAAAAGTAATGTTGGACAAACATATAATGTATAAATTAAGTATTGCATGCGTAGATCCTTTCGAAACTTTTAAACGAAACGTGTTCATTGAAATATATAACCAAAGCGACACCTCTACAGAATAAAATTTAAACAAAATAATTATAACCTTCAGAAATCAGTCAATGAAACATTATTTTCCAACAATCAACTGTTGCAAGTTTTGAAAAAAACTCATGTGTCTGATCAGAAATTGGTTACTCAGTAATCATTTATTGATGTTATTGTTCTTGTAACAAGTATTGCAATGCACTTCCATAAAAACTCTAAATAAAATGTTTAATTCTTTCAGGAAATCATAATGCACGATAGTATCCTTTTAAGAAAATGTGACGAGTCATTAAATTTATATCTCATATGTATTTTAATCTTAAAAATATCTAAAATTTAAAGGAATGTTACATTCTCATTATGTGTATTATTATCTATAAAACTTGAACACACCGGATTACTATGTCAGTAAATATACATACCGTAATCTGTCGTGGAGATGCCTTTATGAAAATCTGTGAGAAGAGATCCGGGTTAAAATATGCTCACCATCAAAATCGATTTCAACGTCAAATATTAAATCCACACAAAGCGAAACAACAAAAATATAAATATATATACCAGATAATCATTTCAAACCTGAAACCGGTGCTTAAATTTCATTTAAAATTGGAAAACATAACAAAAAACTTACATTATAACTATGTGTCCTTTAAAAGTAAAACAGAAACTATATACTGGTAACAATACTCAGAATCCGGTCTATATTGGATATATAAGCAATTGGAAAATACACACACTGAGATAGCTACAGAACTGTAACGTTATGGTTTAATATTTTAGTCTCTGACCATGATCAAAAAACTTAAATATACTGATATACAGGTCGACAGGTTGACAGATTGTTTATTTGAAAGGTCAACATGTATCCTGGAAGAGAGGTCGACAGGTTGACAGGTGGAGGAGTCGACAGGTACATGTAGACAAATGGACAGGTGGAGGAGTCGACAGGTACATGTAGACAAATGGACAGGTGGAGGAGTCGACAGGTACATGTAGACAAATGTACAGGTCGAGGAGTCAACAGGTACATGTAGACAAATGGATAGGTCGAGGAGTCGACGGGTACATGTAGACAAATGGACAGATTGAGGAGCCGACAGGTACATGTAGACAAATGGACAGGTGGAGGAGTTGACAGATACATGTAGACAAATGGATAGGTCGAGGAGTCGACAGGTACATGTAGACAAATGAACAGGTCGACCTTTGTTTCACAATTTGTTTTCGACCTGGCGACATTTATTTTAAGGGATACGATTTTACAAGTTAGGTTTCAACTGTCGAGTTGTCGACCTTGATGTTGACACTACAGATTAAGTTTCAAATTGTCAATCTTTTAGGGAAAAACGCTTCTTGTTGACTACTTCCTTAAACGCATTTATTTGACGTACTAAGGCAAAATCATTCACTTTTTTGTTGTAGAAATTGAACTATTCAGTTCCTTTTCTTGAATTTGAAAGATGTTATTAGGTTTTACGATTTTCTGTTTCGTACAATCTAGTTGAAACGCAAATTAATACAACAATTTTTTTTATTGTTATAATTGAATTGTTCTTTTAAAAACTTTATGGGGCGGGGTGTGATGGGAAGTTACTGGGATGCTACAAATTGCGGTAGCCTGTGACACATTATAGGATACAAACGTCTTTAGACACGGTATAGAACACATCCAAAGGACATGAAGAAAGATACAAATGAATTATATTAATCGATCTCATAAAACCTTCAAACAAAATAAATCTGTGACACTATAAACACGGACACTGGAAATGATGTAGTTGGATCAGGTATCAAGAAGGGAGCTTATTAAGCGGTTACACTGGCTATGCATCTGATGCATAGATCAAGTAGACAAAACCTAGAGAAAGTTGGGATGCATTTTACACTATTAAATAAAAAAACAAATCTGTTCTAAAATTTGAATATTTAATAGATTGTAACAAAAAATAGCAGTCGTCTTCTTCTAGAATGATTAATGCTGTAAAATTAATTTATACAAAAATGTGAATAAAATTTGCAGGTGACTGCCTAATGGTTTGAACTGCCTTTTATTTAATTATGATATGTCCATGAACTAGTACAATTTTACATACTGGCAAAATTTAGTACATAAATATTTAGTAAGTCAGAATCAATTCATACAAAAGCTAAATACATATAATAGTAATATGTTGTACTTGCCAAAGAGGTCAGTGTAACTTCCATACAATCTACATAATGTTGACTTTTAACAAATGTTTTGAAATCCATTTTACATATTTTGCGCTCCTTATTGCGCAGTGGAAACCCCATCCTTAAATTTCAGAATGCCAGGACATCAACGATAGTGGGAAACATGGGATAATTTATGCATAACGGGCTATGCAAAGACAGACGCACGAGATTTACATGCATATTTGGCCTCCTTAGCATCAGACACAGAGACAGATGCGCATGAGATTTGCATGCATATTAGGCCTCCTTTGCTCCTGACCTATCGACCTGCTTAATTTACATTCCGGCAGAATTTTCAAGAAATCAACTCCGCTTACTTTCTCAGAGTTAACACAGAGGAAAACAAGAAAACATTGATGTAACCATCAATTGTCATCCGGGAAATAAATAAAGTAAAAATGGAAATGAGTCTTAATCATCAAACAGCTTCGATATGTGTGAAAAAAAGCTTGCGTCTAAATGATGGAGACGATAGTCGAGAATATTTTGAAAACTTATAGTCGGATGAAAATCGAACAAAAAATACCCTTTCAAACTTTATCAATTCTTGAATTAAGTGTTGGATGCATAAAATATAAATTGAAACCAGACACATGCATCACCTATATTCAAAATGTGTTTCACTTTAAGGATATAAAACACGAAATGTGACAGTGTAGAGTAAGTTTGTATGCGATAAGTAAAATTCGATGTTCTAAAAAAGGAACCTGTCGTTTTTTGTTCGTATATGATAAGCAACTTTATGTATTAAATATGTAAAACATATATATTTTTACAGATTCACTTTATGGAAGTTAATATATTACATGTATGCATTTCTTAATTTATAAAGGGAAAGAACATTCTAATTAACAATCTTTTTAATGTTTAGGAAACCTTTAATTCTGAATAACTTCTCCCACCTCAATCCCCATACACCAACACTTAAACTTATATGTATAGAGAAGCCCAGTTCTCCGGGCTGCAAAAATCAGAAAATTTATTTTTATGTGATATTTGCGTTAATTTAGACATATTTTCATCTTAATCATTATTGTTAATAGAAATGCCTATTCGGTCCTTATACCCCCCCTCCGCGCCTTTTCTTTCTCATCATACTCTGTACCACTTCTTCTCTGGTGAAAAATATTGAAAATCTTGTGAGCGATAGGATTTAAATTTGAGTGCAAGGATTTAACCTGATTAACGATATAACCGTACTGTGACAATAGACAGGAAGTATTGACATATCTAGGTACAATGGTACTAGTATAAAAATAAAACTTGTGAATAATTAGTCGACTTAACGTTAATTCTTTACAAATAAATAACTATTATGTAACAGGGCTGGACTCATTTTAATTAGAAATACCGAATAAAAGCCTACATTCACTGTGAGATAGGCGGACAATATAATTGTATTAATTCTAGGTTAATACAAGATAATACAGAATCTTACTAATAAACAGTTTGACATACGTATCCTATGTCATTAGGAGAATTAAGACTCTTAAGGAGAATCACCGAGTTGTTTACCTATGATATAGATCACCATTAATCAGCATTAATGTATTTGTTAAGATCTAGACCAACATCAGTCAGTATATATTAATTTTTTTATGAGTAGGATGGTGATAAGTGAATAGTATCTTTTAGGTGCATATAAAATTTCTTAACAGTGAGTTGCATTAACTAAAAAATCGTATTGGAAATGTTTTTTTTCTCACTTGATAGAAAAATGTAAATGCGAAAATAGACTTTTATCTTAAATTTTGATTTAGAAAGATTATGTTGACATCGACTTTCCTTCTTAAAGTCAATAGTTTGCTACTTTTATAATCAAAACAATGACCTCGTAGCACATATAATCTATCAAAATGACAAATTTTTACTTGTGTTTTTCATACTTAATTTGTAGAAATATTTTTACGATTGATTTTCTACGGAGTTTACCGTTCGTTCGATCATGGAAAAGCTCCCCTCCACAATCTGCATTCGATAAGAGCCAAAATACTTAATCAAATTTCAAAATGCCTTATATCTGGTCACCTTTAATTTGCTAAAAAAAACTTTTTTTTCTCATTTATGTAATTGTTTAATTTATGTTTTGATTTTTTTAATTATGTAAGTAAGAATCATTCAAGAAATGGACTGAAATAAATACATGTATGTAAATAAATGAAATGAAAGAATTCCATTTTTAAAAATAGATAAAAAGTATGAAATTAATGAATGAATGAAATACTTTCATATGCCATCGCTCTTCACAAACTGCAAAAATAAGGATAGTCTTGGACAAATACAGCAGAGGACAGGGAGTGGACATGGTAATCAGGTGCTTATTCAGGGGACGACAAGGAATGGACATGATAGTCAGTGACAAAGTCTGGGGACGACAGGGAATGGGCATGATAGTCAGTGACAAAGTCAGGGGACAACAGGGAGTGGAAATGCTAGTCAGTGACAAAGTCAGGGGAGGGCAGGGAGAGGACAGGATAGTGGATATAATAGTCAGGGTCTAAGTCAGAGAACGACAGGGAGAAGACATGGTAGTCAAGGGCTTAGTCAGGGGATAAAGGGAGTGGACATGGTAATCAGAAGCTTAGTTAGAGAATGACAGGGAGCGGACAAGGTAGTCAGGGGTTTCGTGAGGGGAGGACAAGGAGTGGACAGGATATTCAGGGGAGGAGAGGGAATAGAGAGGGTAATCATGGACAATGTCAAGGGACGAAAAGAAGTGAAGTGGACATGCTAATCAGGAACAAAGTCAGGGGACAACAGGTAGTGGATATGATAGTCAGGGGCCTAGTCAAAGGATGATATGGTGTGGACAAGGTAGATAGGGGCTTAGTCATGGGACGACGGGGAGTGGATATGATAGTCAGAGATAAATTCAGGGGAAAACAGGGAGTGGACATGGTAGTCAGAAACAGTTAGGAGGAGAGGGAGTGGACATGGTAGTCATAGACAAAGTCAGGGGACGACAGGAAGTGGCCATGATAGTAAGGGAATTAGTCAGGGGACGATGGGGAGTGGGCATGATAGTCAGGAATAGGGAGTGGACATTGTATTTAGGGGCTTCGTGAGGGGACGACAGGGAGTTGACAGGGTAGTCAGTGATAATGTCGGGACGACGGGGAGAGGACACAGTAGTCAATGACATCGACTGGAAAACATAGGAGAAAGTCACGGAGAAACAGGAAAAAGTCAGGGACTGACAGGGGAACAACGGTAGAGTTTAAAATATAGACACTGCATAGTACAGGGGAGTTTGCCACATCTAGTTCAATTTGGATTGTACCATACGTGATAAGCCTCAACTGACAACTGAATCGTATAACGTACGGGCGAGATGAATAACTTTCCTTGTTTAATATGTATATACAAAATCTATAAAAATCAACCCACAGACTTATGATCTTGCAATAATTTTTTTCTTTTAATTGCTAAGATAAAACTATCATGATTACAGCATTGCAATCTGTAACATTACGTTCTTCGTGACAATAATTTGATAGATAAAAAGAAGGGAAGACCGACACAGCCTGCAAAACAGGAACAGTTACAGACAATTAGGGACAACATTGTAAAAGAATCTTCATAAGATAAACCATCAATACAACCAAGTTTCCTTCTCATAATTGTATTTCTCGTTCTAGTTCAAAGTCTCAAAATGTCGATTTGAACAAAAAACTTAATTACTTCAAAACTACATGTATCAGATATGACTGATAATGATTCTTACATAATTATGAAGCTTTTGCACACGTGTATAGTACATTTTTTTCTAAAACCCCTGAGTCATTTCAAAATCCGTAGAACATTTAAGGAATATTCTATCAAATGGCGGTTTACATGAAACTCGTCATGAAAAATGAGAGACTACAGAGAACAAATTTATATTTCAATTAAAATGGTTTACATCTAGAGGTCGTTGAAGGCTTGAAGAATATAGATTTATATTTTTTAAAGCAAAAAAAAAAAAATAAATAAAAATAAAATAAAATAAAATGGAACATGTATAGAATCTGTTAAAGCTTCATTTATGCGTGGAGTGCTATCAAATTTTTAAACAAAATAATCACTAAATTTGTACTTAAGAATGATTTTTTAAAAGGCAAAACTACATTTTTCGCAATAAATGACACAACTAATTTGTAAGGAAATTGTTCTCATTTGCATATTTTCATAACTTGCCTTAAATTGATTTGAAAAAAGAATATTACTTGAATGTTGGATGACACACTAAATGAAAAGAATTCCTGATGACAAAAATATTCAGTATGGTAAAAGAAATAATAATCAAGCTCAAAAGTTCATTAAATGAAATATGTGGTGAAAACGAACAGTATTCTGGCTCAAAAGCCTAATAAACAATAAAAAGTAGGAGCAGAGCGTACACTGACCTCGAAAACATCAGAGGTGGGATCAGGTACCCATTGTGGGAGTGAGCATCCTCTGCCAACCGGGCACAACCGCCGTGTGCTCCTTGTTGTGATTTAGAAATAACGGAAAAAAAATCCTTGGACAACTTAGTAAGGCTCTGTCACATCAAGCTGCGTTCACAGGGAGCCTTTACGGCGTTGTTAAATTTTTAAAATCGCCGTGGAATCGCAGGAAAATTGCAAAAAATTCTGCAAAATTTTCACAATGTGAAGATGTCACAGCGTTCTACTGCGTTCCCACGGAGATATATCGGCGATTGCCTGCGCTTCCGCGGAGTTTTCACGGCGTGTTAGGAATTTTCATCTCGTTTTCACGGCGTTCTCTCTGCGCTGGCTGCGTTCACAATACGTTCACAATGCGTTCTATACTCATTGATATATATATTCAGAAGGAATGTAAAACATTTTTGTTTAAAGACTTAAGCTTCACGATGAAAAGACTTCGAATCATGCCAAAAAAAATCTTAATAATTAAAAAATGTTCTATCTAAATAATTTAGTACTAAATAATAAATAATTTCATGATTAAACTCCTTTTTTCAATTTTATCGGTTCAGATGTGTAGTTAGATTTTCTTTGATTTTATTATGAATAGAACACACTGAAAAGTTTTCTACAAAATTTAAGTGAAAGAACAGAACAAGTTCTGGTGTAATTTTCTCTTCGATGTTTTACTTAAATGCTCCGAGTGCAACAAATACGTTGGAATTATGATCTCATTGCTCTTGTTTTGTGAGCTGGCTAACAACGCCGTGAAAGCGCATTGTGATCGCCAACGCACGCTGTAGAAACGCCACGGGAGCGCAATGATCGCAGTGACAACTCCGTGCTGTCGCCTTGTAATCGCAGTCGAAAAAATCACAAGACGATAAATCTCATTAGAAGCGCCGTAAAAACGCGATAGAAACGCAGTGACATCTCCAAGGACTCCGCGACATATCCATGAGGTCTCCGTGGAAGCGCAGTCTACTATCACCGTGTTCGTGCCGCGATCGTGTGCGTCTTCACGGCGTTCGTACGGAGCTCCAACTACGTCGTTGGAGATATCAACGCGCTTCTACGGCGATCATACTACGTTTCTACTGCGTTCTTATCAGACAGCGATCACACGGCGCGTACTTTGTGCATGCCCAAAGTGATCGCCGTCCTCTGGCGTTCTAGGAGACCCTACGCGATCCTACGGCGTTCAGTGGAGATCTCGCCGCGTTGTCACGGCGCTGTAGGAGACTCTACTGCGATCACCTCGGCGTTTTGCATTTTTGAAGACGCCTTGCAGTCGCGTAGGACGCAGCCCCGGTGTGACAGTGGTTTACATAAGAGCATAACAACCAGTATGAAAAAGGTCAGTCAGAATTTGACTTAATAATAAAATTTGCTGACAGAGTCGTTTCAACAATAGAGTTAACGAAATGATGACTTTAAACAAAACTGCTGATCTTATTGTTTCATTAACCTGTTTGGAAAAAAAACCTCGTTTTAGAAAGTGTTCATACATAGAACATTTTCTTCGGTATTGAATCAATTGAGAGATATAAAATCCGTATGCAGGTGACAAAGGTTTATTGCTGCATAATAAGCAAAGGTAGTTTACGATTTAAAAGTTAAAGTCATCACGTTTATTGTAAAGTTGGAAACAATACAGATCGAGAAAAGAGCAAACCTTGACTTCTCAAAACATTAGATATTGAATCAAGTGTCACAGTGAAGTAAAGTACCCTCAGTCTCTTTTAACGTCATCATTTCGTAAGTTTTACGGTCGATACAATGTCCTTGTCAGCAAATACAATTTATCATATAGTCAAATGCTCGCTGACGTTTTGCATACTTACTGTTAGTACATTATTTATACATTTCTCTGATCCTATTTTGTATTTTTTTATGGACTTCTGATCTGATACTGTTCGTTATCACCATATATTTGCATATCCACTGACCTCTCCCATTATGAACATGTAGGCACCAACTGCATTAAAATTGCTGATTTATATCTTTAAAAATTTAATTTTGGTAAATGTATTTAATTGTATAATAAAATTTTTAAAAAATTGTAGAGAACTGCCATATTTTTATTTTTTCATATCATGCATATTTGTACAAAAAACGATAACTCTTCACACTTGGGTAATAACATTCAGAAAGAGAACATTTCTTTAACTAGTATATCTATTTCAAGAATGATTTCAGCTATTAAAAATAAATAGAAAAACTTTATCAAAAAAAAAAGATCATAGAAAAGCATTCTGTGAGTAATAATCATTATGAGCTTAACGGGTTGAAATCTGGTTGTCACGTCGCCTTACGTCATGTGATTGCTCTGTATCATAGTAAAAATCGTTGTAAATTTTCAAGATTTTAGTAAATCGACTAAACAAAATGTAGAAATTTATTCAGACATAGGTCAGTACACGTTGTAAGCAATTCTGGAGAAATTTTTCATCAAATAGCGTTAAATTTATTGATTTTTGTCAGAGGGTTTAAAAACACAGCCAAAAATTGATCGATTGACGTCACAACTGCATCAAAACAAAAATTAAGAGAATGTGATGACGGCGCTGCTTGTACCGAGATAACTGTGTTTGAGAGGGAAATACTTTAAAAATTGTTTGTGATTTATTAAAGAAAAGGAGCACTGATCAGGTGTACTGATTTTTAAAGCATGTATGTTTTGCCTATATGGTTTTGACAAGATGCCGCGGATTAATGTAACTTTTTTTTAAAGATTTCCTCAATATAATTCTTCAAAAAAAAAATCAAAGAATGTCAAATATCAATTTTAATAAAAAACGATTATTCAGTGAACATGAAAGATTAATGAATAGCAACAGCTCTGCTGGCATCATGGAATATGCCGGCAGAGCAATTGCTATTCATAACGCCATGTTCACTGAATAACGTTGTTTATTTCTTAAATGTTTCACGTTTGTTAAATAATACAAAGACGTTGACAAAGAGAATTAACTCTGAAAATTCAAAATCCTATTTGTCACTCTAATTACACGTTTTAAAAACTATTATTTATTACGCCTTTTAGACTCAAACTTTAAATTTTTTTAACTAGTACAAACATATATCACTAAAAGCGCTGGAACATGTTGAAGAACCAGTGACAACAAACAGCCTGTAAAGGTGATGTAGTCGTATAAGTAAACTTATTTGTAAATATTTCCAAATAATTCCACACATACTTCCAGAATTTCACTTCCACCAGCAATGTGTTGGCTCCCGTGTGGAAAAAACCTGCGTTCTCTCCAGATATATAATGATGTAACCTTTTTTTTACACCATTTTCAATGAGTGAGATTGTGCAGCTAGTTGTTACTTCCGCTATGGAAGCAATTCATGGTCCGGTGAAACATGTGAAGTCAAAACTTCCAAAGCTTGTTTAAATAATGCCCATTTTCAGAGTGAATGCCAGACTAATTCCAGATTATTTTCACCTAATCTGACAATGCAGATTCTTTTAATCAAGACTCTTTTTATCGGCAATATTCCTGAAATTAATTTATAAAAAGCAGTTAGAATAATATTTACAATACTAGGAGACTTATTGTTCACAGAACAATAAGAGGTCTTTCCACCTTCTTTGAATTTCAATTTTG